ATATGAAGGAAGTGGGGCTCAGAGAGGTTAAGGAACTTGACCAAGGCCACACAGCTAGTAAGTGCCAATACCAGGATTCCTAAGACCAGGGGGCCAGACTCCCGCACAGGAGCCTTCACCATTCTAACCTCGCATGACAATGGACCTGAATGGACCTTCCAGATCTTGGGCCGGGCCTGCATTCCGCAAGCACAGCCCCGCTCCTGGTCTGACTCCTGGGAAGGTGCTCCACGGCTCTCTGCAGAGGCAGCAGAAGGCAGCGTGCAAGACGGAGGGGGTGGGGGTGCAGAGGAGAAGCCCCAGGAGGAGGAAGGAGAGCGGAAGTCACCCCGGGTTCTTGTACGGAAGTTCCCGGCAATCCCTCAGGCGACTCTCACTGCCGCTCTGTGGAAGGTCTGCATCAGGCCTGGATCGTGGGGGTGACTGGGACGGACTGCACGCACCACAGGGGAACCAGGCTCCCACACACCCGCCCGCTCCTCTCCACACAGCCAGCCGCGGAGCTCGGAGCCGGTCCTGTGTTGAGCATGGCAGCCTGTTCTCCTAGGGCCCTGGTCGGCAAACTGCGGCTCGCGAGCCACATGCGGCTCTTTGGCCCCTTGAGTGTGGCTCTTCCACAAATACCACGTGCGGCGCGCACGTACAGTGCGATTGAAACTTCGTGGCCCATGCGCAGAAGTCGGTTTTCGGCCTGGGCGAGTCTATTTTGAAGAAGTACTGTTGATATTTGGCTCTGTTGACTAATGAGTTTGCCGACCACTGCCCTAGGGGCCTCGCTGCCTGGCATCTCTCAGGACGTCCTTTCCCGGGGATTCCCTGCCCCCAATCCATGTGTACCCCTGGGTCGTCTCCCCCAAGATTGTGTGTGTCTGCCAGGGCCAGCAGGTCCCAGGTGGCAGAGCTCCTGTGGGGATGGGAGAGGGGGTGACCTGGAGGGTGTAGAGTTGCCTCTACAAATGCGCTGTGCGCTTATGAGGGTGTGTGGATGGTGGGTGTTGGTCTTGTGTGTACAGAGTGGGCAGCCTCTGTAGGTTGTGTTGGTTGGTTGGGTGTCTGGCTGTGTGTGTGTGTGTGTGTATGTGTGATGTGTGTTGCATTGCATGTGTTTGGAAAATATTATTTGGGTGTATGTATTTGTTGGAGGTGTGTGTGTGTGTGTGTGTGTGTGTGATGTGTGCTGCATTGCATGTGTTTGGAAGATATTATTTGGATGTATGTATTTGTTGGAGGTGTATGTGTGTGTGTGTGTGGTTGGTTGGTGATGTGTGCTGTTTTTGTTTGTGTGTATATTGTATGTTGTTTGGATGTGTTGGGTGTCTGTGTGTTTGTTGTACATGTGTTCCATGTGTTGTATTGGTTTATTTGTGTTAGATGTGTGTTTTGTTGCAGAGCATGCTGTGTATGCATACATTGATCATTGATGATGCGTGTTGATCCTGTGTGTGTGTGTGTGTGTAGGCAGGTAGGCATTCTGGGTCCAGAGGGGGCCTAGCCTGGCCTCAGGCCCGCAGACGCTGCAGAGAGCGGGGCTGTGGCCCGCGGGCCGCGGGAGGGCGCTGTGGAGGAGGCGCGCTGCGCTGAGAGGGTCCTCCATGGCCTGGAGGGGCTCCTTGCGCTGGGGCAGGGGGAGTGGTCCCGGGAGGGGAGCAGAAGGAAACCCGAGATTCTGAGTGAGGGCCCCGAGGTGCATCAGAGAGTGGACACTTGGTGGTCGGGGGCGGGGAGGGGGCAGGTGAAGGTGCTTCCAG